TGGGTGAACTAACCCTTTAACCTTGTTGAAAAAAACAGCATATGCTGGTTAGGTATGTTTTGAAGCAGGGCAGCTGGTTTAAGCTGGTCATGAGCCGGTCCTAAGCAACTAGCTCCTGCTCAGGACCAGCTCATGACCAACTTTTGTAAAGGAACTGGATGAACTGATTCATTGAAAAGATTTGACTCAAAAGCTTAAATCATTCTGATTCATGAAATGTGCCAAGGATCGCTGGCTAAGATTTTAAGGTTTTCAGTGATTAATGACTTAAATATGGGTCTGTTCTTTACTCTCAGCTATCATATGATTTCAGAAGTCATAAAATATAATGCACAAGTCATATGGAGCCCTTTTGGAGCCGTTTTTTGGCTGTCTGAACTCACTACTGCAGTTTTAGTATACTGTACTTTGGCCACAAGATTGTCTGGGGAGATAATTTCTGACACAGTCTGCAGTTTTTAAAGTGTTTTGTGGACTATGTCCTGCACTCACAAACACATGCGTGCAGTACGTAACATGATCTTTCTGCCTACTTTTTAAACGAATCTCCATGTTGCCTAATAAACAATTTATGGCATGAGCTCTTAGTGCTAATGAGGCCCATTCATTTTTTAAGTTCCCTTGCACTTTAACGTTCTCAGACTCGATGGATGACAAGCACAAGGCCATCTGGCCAGTACTGTAAACTGTGTGTGTGAAAAAATCAAGGTGTTGACTGTGTGCTGGGAGACCGAATGCATGCTGTTTTGACCTTTGATGAGACTGTGATGATCGCTATTCACTGGACCAGAGGATATTTTCAGTAATCACTCCACTAAAATCAAAATACACAACAATATCGTGTTCTGGCAAACAACATCAGCTGTCTGAAGAGCTGCCAAAGAAATATCATGTCACGCTGTGGATTCTGTAGTCGCTAACCTTTGAGTTCTGTGTGTTAACAGCAGTTCGTACAGACAGAGGTCATCAGCTCTTCAGATAGTAAAGTTACAGATCTGTTTGAACCATTTACATTCTTAAAGGGATACTCCACCCCAAAATGAAAATTTTGTCATTAATCACTTACCCCATGTCGTTCCAAACCCCTAAAAGCTTCGTTCGTCTTCGGAACACAACTGAAGATATTTTGGATGAAAACCAGGAGGCTTGTGACTGTCCCATTGACTGCCAAGTAAATAACACTGTCAAGGCCCAGAAAAGTATGAAAGACATCGTCAACTGGATGATGTCAACGTGGACTATTCTGACGATGTCTTTCATACTTTTCTGGGCCTTGACAGTGTTATTTACTTGGCAGTCAATGGGACAGTCACAACCTCCTGGTTTTCATCCAAAATATCTTAAATTGTGTTCCGAAGATGAACAAAGCTTTTACAGGTTTGGAACGACATTTTGGATGAAAACCGGGAGGCTTGTGACTGTCCCATTGACTGCCAAGTAAATAACACTGTCAAGGCCCAGAAAAGTATGAAAGACATCGTCAGAATAGTCCACGTTGACATCATCCAGTTGACGATGTCTTTCATACTTTTCTGGGCCTTGACAGTGTTATTTACTTGGCAGTCAATGGGACAGTCACAAGCCTCCCGGTTTTCATCCAAAATATCTTCAATTGTGTTCCAAAGACGAACGAAGCTTTTACGGGTTTGGAACGACATGGGGGTAAGTGATTAATGACAACATTTTCATTTTGGGGTGGAGTATCCCTTTAACACGTGCTGCACAATCATAATTATGACAGCAGCAGGTGCACTGGTCTTTAATTTACTTACCTGTTAAAAGACTGTCAATACATTTTTAAGTAGTCAATTATGTATATGTCTACTGATTGGACAATTTCTAGATTTTGAAATTGACACACAATAGTACTTATGGTTGATGACCAAGCAGAAACAGTTATCAGCTAATGCTGATAGAAGATTCTTCTAAAATCTCCGAAAAGTAACATCCCCATATATCGACCATGAAAGGCAATTAAAGCACTCGTTAATTTATGAGACATGATAAACTGCACTGTTCCAAATGCTTGTATTGCTGTATTTACAATATGTTTGGTGCTCAGAGTGAAAATTGCATGCCATTATCAGTAGGGATCTAAATATGTCTGCATCCTTCCTTCCTCTTTGTGCCGCCCTGTTAAGTGTACTCTGATCTCTTGATCAGATGCATAATTTTTGCCCGAAATGACTGAAAACAAACTAGTAATTCCAAGAACAGTCAAAGCTTATGTAAATATAACTAAACCCCAACAGAAAGGATGTTTGAGGGGCAAATGAGTATAAGATGAGGCTCTGTGGCTCCATCTGGCCTAGGTTTTTTTATTGACCGGATCTCTTTACGATCTGATCCGTTTATGTTTTGGCACTCTCATAATGCAAGGGAGTGTCTCTTTCCACCCAAAAATGAAAATGATCATGATTTACTCACTCTTTTCAACCTTTATGGAGCACATTAGTAGAAGAATATTCATTCTTGACTTTCATTTGACAAAAGTGATCCATACAAGTTGCATGAAGATTCAAATAAACTTTAAAGGAAACGTATTGGTTAAGAAAGGCATGAGGATGAGTTAATAATGGCAATTATCATTTGTCTTTTATTTATTGTACAAAACCACCTACTATCCTCAAACAGTTGCCATGGAAACTGCAGGTTTAGCCAATAGGTCGCCACTTGTAAAAGACCTCAAAACAAAATGTGTTTTTGTCACATTCAGTCACCAGTTTCAGGCTGGGTTCAGTTCAACCCTCGCTTCTGCTTGCCATTCATGTGCTGGGAGAGCGAGAAGCTGTTGGCGGCCTAATATGGGTTGCAACGTGTCTTCCGTAACAAGACCGCTTTCCCAGAGGCAATTTCCTCTGCTCAGAGGGTGGTTTTCCAAAGCTCAAGAGACTTTTTGGGGAACTCATTTGTGTTTCATTAAGTTTCTTCAACGATTCCTAAGGAGAAAAGACAATAGACACAAATAAAACACAGCTGACAGAGTAAGAGAACAGATCTATGAAACTGATGTGGATAGCATAGCTAAAATAACCAATAAAATGGTTATATTGAACCATATTGAAGATCATACTTTTTCTTGGCAAATCCAAGCATACTTTGAGACACTGTTGAAATCTCTTCTGAGCATTTGACCAGAAGAAAACAATCAATCTGAGAAGCATTGAACGTCTTCATTGAACTTCTAAAGCAAGCAAATGGAATATTAAAGAGAACTCATTTGTGGGTGTCTTTTGGGACTGGTCTGAACTCATCTTTGATTAATTAGTGGCCATTAGACCACAGAGCAATGTCAGTCTGCTCAGCTGAGAAAGGATTGTGCTCTCTATCACAACCATAAGCTGCAGTCATCCGCCATGCCGCAGCCACCAGCATCAGCAACAGTCAGCCTAAACCTCGGGGCCTCAGCTAGAGGCAGTGATAGACGAACGGGGGTGGGGCATTTTGGTGACAGCTGGCCTCTATAAATAACCCCAGCGGGTGGAGGCGGAGAGCAGAATCCTGCAGTGTGCGCCACATTGCCTTATGGCCAATCAGAGGCAACCATGAGACCTACATCCTCAAGAGTGGGGCCAAACATTGCCAACATACAGTATATGCCTAGTTTCGAAGGCCTACTTTCTTTGATTGTCTTGAGCACAAGGGAGGGTGCAGATCAGGTAACGGCAAGTAAAGGTGGTGATCATGAATAGATAAATGATTAAGACAAGCTTTTAATCGCATCTTCGGTTACCGTGACATTCGGCTTTTGTCACAGTCACATGCAGGACAGTCTGTCACATAAGGTGAAGGCATGTCAGTACACAGATAAACATATGAACAAAATACCCAAGTTTAGCAAAGGTACTACTTTAGCTTGGGGCTGTTACCGTCAGTGGGTCATGTGAGTCATCCAATGTCGTGAGTCATCCAACGTCGTGAGCTAATCATAGTGGCATTTTTATAACTCATCCTACTTTAGAAAATCACAAAGATGCTTTACTATTTCTTGTTTTGTTTCATGTGAATTTATAGTGTATTTAACTTTTTTCAACTTGAAAAACATTTGGAAACTGATTTTGCACTGTTGTGGTCACACTCACATTGTAGCACCTGGGGAGATATACAAAGTAAATGTTAGCTTTCACTTTCAAGCAAATTAAATACATAAATGAGTCAAAGTTACTATGTACAGCATGGTAAATTACCCTTTCTGTTGATAATTTTACCTGGTAGCATTGTGTAGCATTATTTGTCCTCTGCAATTTGGTTGTTTGTTGACGAATGAACACTTGCTCTTCAAATGCTAGCACTGTAATTTCATTCTTTCCTCTTGTCTTTCACAGCCTTTTGCACAATGGTGTTGCATCCAACCAAAAGATGTCTCAAAGATGCCAGAGAGTGCGTGGAAGCTGGTCTTCTACACAATGTCGTGGTCATACAGCACATACCTTTTGTTTTTCACTAGCTATTCCTTCTTTCAAAACCCCCCATCTGTGTTTTACGGTAAGCTTCATACCTGATGCATGTCCTGTTTTTGTAAGTAATAATTGTTTTTTTAAACCCTGTCAGGCCTGTATAACTCAACCCTTGATTTCTTACAATGATTTGAGTTGTTTAGTAAACATATTGCATGCTACTTTTAAATGGTATAAATATACTTAATATCAACTGAAATATACTTAGTTATCATTGAAAGTCCAACACAAGTTTACAAGGGAGTTAACACACCTTGAGGAAAATGTTAAATGTTTAATGACTAAAGATCTGGGCCCGTATTCACAAAATATTTTATCTTAACACTAAGAGTTCTCCTAAATAGCAGTAAAGGTTTTTAGCCAAGAGTTTTCTCTTAAAACCTATTCACAAAGCTGCTGAGACAAACTTTTACTAATGCCGAGTACACTGCACGATTTTAGCCCGATTTTTCACTCGCCAACAGGTTTTGCGAAATCGCCGACAAATGCCCAAAATCGGAGGCAAATCAGTGCTCGTTCACGCGAGTGACAATCACGCAGTGTGAATTATCAAAGACGCGATCTGAGGGAAT